GTAGCTCATGCCTGTAATCCTAGCTAGTCACGAGGCTGAGATCTGAGGATTGCAGTTCAAAGCCAGCCTGGGCAGGAAAGTCCGAGAGACTCTTATCTCCAATAAACCACCAGAAAACCAGAAATGGCGCTGTGGCTCAAGTGGTAGAGCACTCACCTTGAGCTGAAGAGCTCAGGGACAGCACCCAGGCCCAGAATTCAGGCCCCATAACCAAAATACAATAACTGAGAAATCACTCATATAGCATTTCAATATAGTTTATTTTTGTTAATCTCTGTCAGAGCCTAACTTGTAAGTTAAACTTTACCATAGGTATATATAGGGAAAAACAGATTTTATACAGGTTGGCACTATGATCCATTCTTTCAGACACCCGCTATGTCTTAGAAGCATCCACCACAGATAATGGGATGCTACTGAATTATAAGACATAAAAATAAGTTAAGTAGGGTGAGGAAGTGGCCCACTTGCCTAGCATATACAAAAGCCTGGGTTTGATCCCCAGCAGAAAAGCTAGCCAATTACTCTAGATATACTTTTATCCAAAAATCAAGTATCTGAAGTATTCTTATTCCTTTAAAGTACTGACTCTTACTGATTTTTATTACAAAGTCCCATACTGTGTTTAACAGAAACAGCTGAAAGCCTATTAGGAAAAATACTCTAGACACTAAGGATATGACAATAAACATGAAAAAAATCCAAGTTTTCCTCATGTCCTAGAGTGCACATTCGAGTAATAAATACACAAGACTAAGTACAGAGTGGTAAACGTTCAAGTAGGGGAAATATTTAGTAAAGAAAAACAAGACAACAGTTTTGCTGTGGAAGGGGAAGGTATAGTGGGTGGAACCAAAGGAATGGGACAGAAGACTGAATGTACTGAGAACATGTTAGCAATGGGCAGAGCAAAAGCCCTGATATGGAAATGTACTTCATGGGCTTGAAGTACCAAGTGGAAGGCACACACTGGCTTATTACTCAAGATTTCACAGGCCACTGTACAAATTTATTTATTGCTGGTCCAGAGGCTTGAACTCAGGGTCAGCTGTCCCTAAGCCTCCTTGTGCTCAAGGTTAGTGCTCTACCACCTTAGCTACATACCACTTCCAGCTTTTTCTGAGTAATTTACTGGAGATAAGAGTCTCACGGACTTTCCAGGCTGGCTTCAAACTGTGATCGTCAGATGATCTCAGCCTCCTAAGTGGGTAGATTACATGTGAGCCACCAGTGCTCAGCTCACTGTATGAATGTAAAAAAAAGATACAAAAGACTAAGGAGAAGCAGTGGAGTGCTTTAAACAGGGGTGTGACAGGACCTGGCTCCTCCTTACAAGATGCATCAAGTAATAGTCATGCAGGAGATAGATACTAGAAGGACCAGGCAATACCAGTCAGGCATAGTGGTACATGCCTTTAATCCTAGTTCAGGAAGTAGAGTTAAGAGGATCAGAAGGTCAAGGCCAGCCTGGGCTATATAGTGAGACTGTAACAAAATTAATAAAATATTAAATACAAATAAAATGGTAAAAATAGAGGGCGAGAACTAATCAAAATCCATATATATCATAATTATGACTAGATGAAATTATAAACATGCAAGTTAGAAATAAAATCATATACTGGGTGTCCGCTCATACCTGTAATCCTAGCTACTCAGAGAGCTGAGAGCTGAGGATTATGGTTCAAAGCCAGCCTGGGCAGGAAAGTCTGTGAGACTACCAAAAACCTGGATTTGGCACTATGGCTCAAAGTGGTAGAGCACTAGCCCTAAGCACAAAAGCTCAGGAACAGTACCCAGGCCTCGAGTCCAAGAACCAGGAGGGGGAAAATGAAAATCTATGTAATGAAAGATAAAAACCAAACCAAAAAAAAAAAAAAAGAGATAAAACAAATGGGCTTCTAATATGTTTATACTAGTCTCTGACATAAAATCTCACAAGACTTATCTCCACAATGGCAATGCCTGTCACCTCAGTGACAGTAGGGAAGCACAGAGATAAGCCTGGATACAATGAAAGACCATACCCCAAAAAGCAACCAAAGTGGTAGAATACCTGCCTAGCAAGTGTGAGGCCTACAATTCAAATCTCACTACTGCTCATATATCTATAAATACACACACAATAGAGAGAACCAATTCCTTAACATATTTATGTCCCATTTTCAATATCCAGCTAATCAGTTAAATGTTCAGATACATGGGAACTGTGAACTATGTGATTATCACTGCTGATATGAAAAATGTAAGCCTTTTCTCCCCAGTTCAGTGTCAACTTTAAAGTGATGCCACCTACTTAGTTGAAAGAATGTCTAAATATCCCAAGTAATTTCCCAATCATCTCACAAAAGAATCAATTAGGTCAAAATGGAAATATATAAAAAGTTCTGCTGAATAATTCCATTGTTTATGAAGTTGTATATATATATTTTTTGGGGTCCAGTAGTGGGGCCTGAACTCTGGGCCTGGGCGCTGTCCCTCAGCTCTTCAGTTCAAGGCTAGCGCTCTACCACTTGAGCCACAGCGCCACTTCCGGCTTTTTTCTTTTTTGCTTATGTGGTGCTGAGGAATCGAACCCAGGGCCTCATGAGTGCAAGGCAAGCGCTCTACCACTGAGCCACCTTCCCAGCCCCATGAAGTTGTATATTTCTTGTAAAAAAAAAAAAAAGTTGCCTATAAGCTGGACATAGCTTAAGCCTATACTCCTAGCTACCTGGGAGGTGGAGAACAGGGAGAATTGTGGTTAGAAGCCAGCCTGGGTATAAAAGTTAGATTCCATCTGACCCAATAGCTAGGCACAGTGGTGTATGCCTATTATCCCATGTAGGCTGCCTTCCTGTAGAGGGGAAGCTCTATGGGCAGGCATGGTGGCACATGCCTGTCATCACTATCAACAGTGCACAAGTAGGAAGATCACAACCCAGGCCTGCCTGGCCTTAAAGTGAGACCCTACCTCAAAAATAATACAAGTGGTAAAGCATCTACCTTGCAAGTTACTGAGGCCCTGAGTTCAATACTCGGTACTGCTACAAAGAAAGAAGCCAAATGTAATTGAGATAATTGGTGGTTTCTCTTATAATGGTAACATGCAGTTATGCTGAACAAAATTTCCTAGGAGATTTTAAGACAATGGTTCTATCTGAAGTAGGAGGGATTAAAAAGAGTAAAAGAATGAGGGTTTAGCTTTTACTGTAATCTTACATTTCTCTAAGTAAAAACAGAAAGTAAATGTACACAAACTATGGAGGCAAAAGTCCCTGTATTCTAAACAATTACTAACTCTTTGGGACTTTGAGCAAGCTACTTTTGTCTCTTTCTGCCTCAGTTCCATGTGAGAATCATACATTCTGCTGTATATATTTAATGAACTTACTTGTGACATGCCTAGAATATTCTTGGCCTCACCACCTATAACAACTGACCAAAACCTGGCTTGAATGGACTGGGGGAAGAAAGGGTTACTGAGGATAAGGATATGGGGGAAAATATGCTGCTCTATTTTTGACACATACATTTCAAATATAAATTCTAACTTTGAAACTACTGATAAGTGGCCAACATGTGAGAAAGCAGTATAAGTAGAAAAATAAAAAAAAGTTTCAGTCTTCTCTTCAGTTTTCAAAAACATGAGACAATACAGGCTTTAGAGTTTGATATTTATTTTTATCAGGAAGAATATGCTAATGGTGATGACATCATTAGAAGATACGCCCATGTCCAATATCTGCAACACAAGCTCAACATAAGTTAAAGAAATTATACCAAAAAGACTGAAGACAAAATTGTACAATATTACTTACCCTTATCTCTGCAGACAATAAAAGAAGCGACACTATATTTAAAACTGAAGTTTAACCACAAGATCAAGACATGGTAAGTGAACTATTAAAATTCATCTTTTAAGAAATTGCATCTTTATCAAAGTGGGCAATCTTTTTAAGGGCAGAGCACAGTGGCAATAACTGAGTTTATGTGAGCAGAGAAGCAGAAAACTGAAAAAGGATAATGCTAAAATAAGCTGTAAATCTGGGGTGGGATAATCAAGTAGCTCTCTTGACAGTTGCAATGGCAAGCCGGTTCAAGCACCATCTGGGGCATAAATTAGAGACTGCTGAATGAAGAACTAAGTAATAATGAATGAAAGCAACTTAATATTGGGAGGGATGGGTGAGAATGTTGAAAAGGGTGACACTGATCAAAATGCATTGTACTTATAAATGTCATTGTTAAATGGCAAATCCTTGCAACTTAAAAGTACTACTATTATACACCTGCAAATTTATAGTGGACTGTCTAAAAACAAATTATAAACTCACTTACATACTATTAGAATAAGATATTGGTAAGGCAGAAAAAAATTTAAACAAAAACGAGTGAACTGAATGACTCTTTAAAGAAAACCAAATCTAATGCATTTATTCCCGCTCACAGAAAATATAAGACTCTTTAAAATTACCTTCTAAACTCCCAGACTTCTGATCAACAGTACCAAATTGTTACTTAAATGTTGATAGTATGTGTGAGCCCAGCAAGTGTAGGTGGGAAAATGTTAAGTGTCAGAACTGAGGGTGAACAAGGCAGTCATCTGAAGATTTAATGATACAACTAAAAGACTATATTCACTTAGAACAGGGACTGAGTAAGTCTAACCATAATTTAATGCAGTTACCACCAGGCTTCATTCCCATTATTATTTTTCTATTCTGTGCTTGAAAATCAGAGTTTAAGTACATAGAATTCTACTTTTGCCTGGGACTTCACATTAATAATTTTCAAATTTAACCAATTCTGCTAATTCCAAATTTCTATGCTTAAAGCAGGTTGACTTAGTTTAAGTACAGAGAAGGCCACTAATGTAAAGGGAAGCTTACCTGAGCCACTGCCTAAAAAACTCCACAATCCAAGAAATTCAAGATGTGCAGGCACATTAAGGTATATTAAAATTCCTACCAAAAAGTAAATTAAATAAAGAAGCACTAAAGAAGCAAAAGATTACGCACTTCCAATTTATGCTCTTTCTCTGCAAGGGCTTCCTTTTGACAACGAAGAAAATCTGCTAACATTCGAGTGAGCTGCTTTCTATCATCTATTTCTGCCGCCAATCTGCCATTATAATCTGCCAGCAACATACAAGCATCCTCTACCATTTTAGAAAGCCTTTCTCCAGATTCTTTATCTAGGAAAAGCATAGGATAATAAAATTATTACAAAATAAAAACAATGATATATGCTGTTCCCACATTCTGCCTCCTCCCAAAAAACATTCTGGAATACATTTTATCTTCTTACCTGTTATTTTATCAAGGAGAGATACTTCTTGAACTTCCACAGGCAAAGAAGCTATCCGCTGATGGACTGCTGCATCACCAGAAGCTGCATTTTCTAGATCTTGCAGGGCTCTAACGAGATCTAGAGTCTAAAAAGTTATACAACTTCAAGACCAAAGTAAACAGTGTTAACAAATACAAAACACTTAACATTTACTTCATATTCCTAACCCTATGATGCACATACTAACTCCAAGTTTTCATTTTATAAAGTGCTTTGAAGACAATCATTTCTTTTATAAATTAAAAAAACAAGCTACATTATATACAAAGCACTGAAACTGTAATCAAACAGATAATCTCTACCAAGTGGTAGAGACAGTATTAAAAAAAACGGTTGGATTCTTTAAATAAGGTGACTGACTTATGAGGCAGAGACATCACTGGAAAAGGGAAGTGACAGCTATTACTCAGAGCTTGTCAATAAATAATATACTTATTAAATTATTATTGCATGTATCATCATTAAATGAAGATTTACTTACACATTATATTGAACATTGAGGAAAGGAAAATATAAATCAACTATTACAAGAAAAAGTCTCAGATTCTATTTCTAAATGCTATAATTTAAAAAATAGGAGAAATGTAATCTGGGGATGGATATATGTTCAGATTTGATTATCCTATCATTAAAAAAAACTGTGTATATAATGGCTAATGTTTATGTATTGCTTAGCCAATATATAAATTATCTTATTAAAATATTTATTTTCACTATTTTTATAATATAATTAGAAAAGAACAATTATAGTATTTTAATTGCACTGTTCTCTTACTTATTTTATGTTCTTTACTTTTTTATTTTTGGCAGTGTTGAAGTGCTAGACAAACACTGAGCCACATTTTCAACCTTAACTCAACTGTTTCTATACCAGCTATAATTAAAAGAACAATTCCTCACTAGCAATTTCACAACACATAATATGTTATTCTAAAGAAAATTAAATTTTCTTTTTACTAGTCTCCATCCTTATCCATTTCATCTTTCTTTTTTAGTTTCTAAGTGACATTAAGAAAAAAATACATTTATATGTTTTTTGGGGAGTGTGTGCTAGTACTAGGGGCTTGAACTCAGGGTCTCACATTCTTGTTTTGCTTTTTAGGTTCACTGCTGGCATTCTACCACTTAAGCCGTATCTCCAATTGCTAGCTAATTAGAGATAAGAGCCTTCTGAATTTGCTGCCAAGATTGGCTTCGAATTTGACCCTCAAATCTCATCCTTTAGGGAGTATAAGCCAAAGGCATCCAGCTTAGGAAAAACAAACAAGCATACAAACACACATACAAACACACATACACACTTTAAATTATTGGATATTACTAATTCTGTGTACACAGAATTAGCTGGGTGTGGTAACATGTACCTATAAGTCCCAGCTACTGAGAAGGCTGAGGCAGGACTGCTTGAGACCAAGAGTTAAAGCCAGCTAAAACAAAAAAGCATACACTTGCTGGGTGTTTGTAATTCTAGCTGCTCAGGAGGCTGAGATCTGAGGATCACAGTTCAAAGCCACCCTGGGCAGGAAAGCGTAAGATTCTTATCTACAATTAACCAGCAAAAAGTCAGAAGTAGAGCTGTGGCTCAAGTGGTAGAATGCTAGCTTTAAACAAAAACAGCTAAAGGACAGTGCCCAGGCCCTAGAGTTCAAGTTCCAGTTCACATACTTGTAATCCTAGTGCTATATAGTAAGACTGTCATACTCCAAAAAAGGAAAATAAAAAAAAAAAAGAACTACCGGGTATATGTAACAAATGATTAAATTTGTTAAGAATTAATCTAGTAAGAAATAAGCCAATCTACATGTTATTAGAAGTGTATGAAAAACACAAAAAAATTGTAAATATTTAAATCTTCTATAAAGACATCTATTTCTCTTCTATAATGAAATTGCACTTAAAAGAGCAGTATGGTCTCTCAACTAATATAAAATGTTTCAATGAGCATTAGAAAGTTCTAAAATTTTCTACAGTTCTAGAAAGAAATTTACTTCATGGTATTAACAGTGCCTACCTCCAAATCTTATCTCATTACACATTTACATTCCTTCCTACATGAGTTAAATATAAATTCCCAATGCCTGATGAAAGATTAGGGAAAAAACCCACAGTTATCTAAAACACTAGACTAGGACTTGCTACTAGAGGACAGTGAATTAAATTGTAAACTGCACAGCGAGATGTTAGCCACTCCAAAATGTCATAAAATAGTGACTACAAAGCTGAACCAGTTAGAACTGGGCAGCACAACCAATTCTAAAACCAAAAGCAATAGCATTTTATATAAGTACTGGAGAAAGTCACATAATCACTGAAAAACATTCAAAAAGTCCAAAGGTGGTTATTCTTTCATCAGAGGAAGTGTAAGACGGTCAGATCCTACACCTAAAACTCAGGCAAAATATTGTTCATGGAATCATAATAGAGCTTTTAGCACAAAATGATTTTGTCATGAAATACAGAGAAACATGCATCTTAGTGTTTGATTTCTCCAACCAAACAATGTACAACTTGTGTTTTTCTTGTTGTTCACAGTGCTGGGGATTGCACCCAAGTCCTTGTGCATGCTGCCAAGTACCCTGAAGTATACTAATTTCTGAAAACTTACAACTGCTTCTGGACCAGACCTCAGCAGAAAGGCTCCGACCCATACAGTGAGTTATGTTTCTGTACCGTTTCTAGCCCTTAAAGATATTTACCTGATTAAGAGAACGGCTTTGTCTTCATTTTCTCCTTTTAAATTTTATCTGTCTCTCCTATACATTTCAAACATAGAAGAAGGAAGCTTAAAGTCTTAATGCCCACTTAATTAAGAGTTCCAAGTGTTTTTCTAGAATTCACTGAATGGTTTAGTATGAGAAAACTTAGAATATTAAGATAATTATTCTAATTTATCGTATTTTTCTATAGAACGCATGGGTTACATAGTCATAGAACTTCATGAATATAAGTTGTCATTCAAACACTCAGTTTTACACATTTGAAAGCAAAAGTATTTATAGGACTGGTATTCATCCCTAAGAACGGAATTTTACCGCACCTTGATCATATAACAACATATCCTTATCACATGTTTTATTTTAAAAATAAACTATTCAAGTGATAGACATTTTATCTCACCTAGTCATACTCAGGAATCAGAAATCCTCGTTCAATGCAAAATATACAGCACATAACATATTACTTCAAGCGTAAGCAACTGGTTAGCCAGAGAATTAAGTATACTAATGGAGCTTCTTTCTCGTACCTACTAATAAAGCTTGATGATCACACAAAATAAAATATTATCTCTTAACAGAGACAAGCTTACCTGGGGTGGTTCACTTGGAGATTCCAGAGAACAGTTTTCATTGTCATCCACTTTTATTTGCTCATAAGTTCGCTTCCTAGTCTTTTTATCACCATCTGCATTGAAAGAGCTTTTAAGTTTTAATAAAAGAATATACTTTAAATAAAAGACCACCTTATGAGATCAAGATTCTATACTTACAAAGAGCTTGCTTAAGTTGGTCTAATACATCATTTTCATAAACAGATCTTTCTTCCCAAATAGATAATACTCTTCCAAGATGTTTCTTACAACTTTCATCAGTTTCACTAAATAAAATAAACAAAAATGCTAACGGTAAAAACACATAATGCTACTGAAAAGGTAATGAGTAAATACAATCAGTATTTATTCTCTAGGAAAAAACTATCCAGATGTTCACTATGTTTCTTTATCCTTGAGGATAATGCTATTAAGGCAGACTCATTTCCTTAAAGAATTTAAGACATAATATTAAACAAAAAATTACCCCCAAAAATACAAATTTTAAGAAACACTACTAAGCATTGATAAAGAAGATGCTCTAATCTAATAATGGGGCTGAACATGAGGCTAAGGGAAACTTCTAATGGGCAACTTTTTAAGTATCCAACAAGTATTTATTGATTCAAGTCAAACTTCGACATAGAGATCAAATGGAGTTTTAGAGCTGTTATTATTTGTCTAGTGCTACAAAACAGAACAAGGTGCTACAGACAACAGAGGTCTAGCCCAGTTTAAGAAAGGTCAGAAAGAACATTTGAAGAAGTAATATCTAATCTGAGATCTAAGATTGTATAAACAGGAAAATATACTGAAAACAAATTACTTCCAACCATTTCCTACCTGGTTCATCACTGCCACTGTAGACGGAGCTACTAGTACCTCTGCCTAAATTTTTGTGAATACTCACTGATCTCTCAGCCTTTACTCTTTTCACTCTACTCATCTAATGCTAAATCAGATCATATTGTTCTCAATGGTCCAAGAGCTACCAACCACAACAGAAATGAAAGCAATCTTTATATTCTCTAATATTTCTTCCATAAAAATCTCCTTGTAGGGGCTAGGAATATGGCTTAGTGGTAGAGTGCTTGCCTAGCATATATGAAGCCCTGGGTTTGATTCCCCAGTACTACATAAACAGAAAAGGCTGGAGGTGGCACTGTGGCTCAACTGGTAGAGTGCCAGCTTTGAGCAAAAGAAGATCAGAGACAGTGCCCAGGTCCTGAGTTCAAGCCCAGGACTGGGAAAAAACAAGCAAAACCTCCTTGTTTTCAAAGTGTAAGGGGAGGTCCAAAGATACAAAGGGTGAACAAAGGCAGCAATAGTACTCATTGGCCACTCTGTTGAAAATGAACTATGCGATTTGTGAGTGGCAAATGGGAGGGAAAAACTGGGAGAGAGCTAGTGAAGGAGTGACACTGTCCAAAAGGAAATGTACTTATGTAACTATAACACTTCTGTACATCACCACTATAATAACCATTAAAAATTTTTAAAATCTTGTTGATCTTCAAACATGCTAACCACACAAGTTATCTATTTATGCTGAGTATTCTGTCTATATACCTTTCTTCCTATTCAAAAGACTCCTTTCATTCTTGTTTAATCTCTGTACAAATGCTAGGTCCCTCAGTTTTCTTTATCTTATCATACATCTGAGCATTGTCATACCCTCTAATTCCTTCTGTTTCATGTTTCCATAGAACATGTGTCATCTGACATAAAATATGCACTTATTTGTCCAGCTGTTATTATCTTTTATATCTTCTGAAATGTAAGTTCTACTAAACCAGAACTTGGTCTTCTTCATTACTATATACTAAGCTTAGCAAAAGGAGACTTACACCCTTCTATCAATCCACATAAATCAACACCACTCCCCATTCTACACTATTCTATTTATTTGATTAGCTATTACAATATATGCTGGCATATACTGGTAGGAAATAAATATTTTAGGAAGCATAAAGTATTGATTCCACTTTCAGAATTACTTGCAGCAAAACTTTTCAAACAAGTTTATGCTTACCATAAGTAAATATTCTTTATTTCCAAAACATAAATGCCATAAAATGTTAGGACATATAGCTAAACATTAAAAAAAAGAACTTTAAAAATCATCATATAAGTGATATGAGGGGAAATAGTGCTTATAAGTTTTATGCTCACTAAATTTTACTTCAATAGTCTCACTGACTTCACTAAACTTCACTCTAATATAGGAGTTACTTCTGATCTCTTAAAAGAAAGCTATAATTCAAGACTTCCAAATGCCCATCTTCCCAGTTCAGATTTCCTTGGTAACATTTACCCAAAAATTCAAATTAGAGATAAATTTTTTTTCAAACACAACCTTCAAAGAAATGCTTTCTAGTTTTTTACTGTAATGGTAAATTTAAGCAAAAGACATACTATACACTTAAAACAGATTCCTGAATCCCCATACAATGATCATACCTGGAAACATGCTTAAAAGCCTCCACTATAACTGGTGCAAAGTCCTTTGTAAACTCTGGCCCCTTCCTTTTGCTGTTCTGAATGACATCATTGGCTAGGTAGAGAAAAGTAAGCTTCCTGTTGGGTTTCGCTGAAAAATAATTAAGAACAAATCTTTAATCCACTTAAAATATCTTTATCTTAGACAAACTTTTTTTAATATCTGAATTAAGCTGCTTGAGAACTAAATAAACTTAACCAACCCTTTGTATCATGTTCACCCCCAGCATTCTTCTACTATCTAACGCATCAAATCCCCGCTACTCCAGGATGACTACTCTAGCACTTCTGAAGATCCACCATGGGAGGAAAAAGAACCTAAAAGGAGTAGGTAAGTACATGCCCTCCATTTTTAGGAATTTTTAAAATGTTTTTCGTAAACATTATTTCACTCATCTCCTCTAAGAGAAAGGGGTTATATAATAGTTCCTCTCATGTATTCATGAGTTCAACTCTGGCTTTAAAATAAACAAACAAAAACTAGCCAGCTCCTGATGGCTTATTTCTGTAATCTTAGCTATTCAGGAGGCTGATACCTAAGAATTGTGGTCCAAAGTCAACTTGGGCAGAAGTGGATCAAGTTGATAGAGGACTAGCCCTGGGTAAACAAACAGCTCAAGGACAGTGCCCAGGCCCTGAGTTCAAGACCCACAATCAAACCCCCCCCTCCAAAAAAAACCCCACTTTTTCTTCCATATTCTAGAACATCTTTCTCCAGGTTTCTTGATTTCTTCATTCTGTATTAAGTTGTTCTGAAGCAATCACCCCCAACAGTGTATCTACTGCCGATTTTCCCCCCAACTAAACCATGATGCTTTAGTACAGGAAACACTAGTAGTAGACTGAGTTCAGTCTCTTAACACTTAAAGATAACTTAGTACCAAAGAATTTATTCAAACAATATTAAGGCAACAAACTAAAATTTAAAAACACATTTTTCATAGAAATAAAATGTTCTGAGGCAAATGAGGAAAGGTCTGAGTGTGTTTGTAATTCTGAGAATGTGTCCTCTGAAACTGTTCCCAAACCTGTTAGATTTTTCCTGGGCTGGGGTGTGGATCAAATTTTAGAGCACCTGCTTTGTAAATGTAAGGATGAGTGCAAACTCCAGTACCACAAAAAGGAAGGGAAGAAAGAAGAAGGGAAGAAGGGAAGGAGGAAGGGAGGGAGGGAGGGAAGGAGGGAGAAGGAATGGAGGGAGAAGGAATGGAGGGAATGGAGGGAGAGAGGGAGGGAGAGAGGAAAAAGAAAGGGAGGGAGGGATTGAGGGAGGGAGAGAAAAGTCAGTTCCCCAGATGTTCATTAACATGATATTCTTTGATTTTTTTCCAGTCTCCTGAAAAAGGTAAATAAATACTGTTTTCCTTTTGCCCTATAGTACTGTGGAGAACACATGTTCATTATAGTTGGAGAGGTAATTAGAAGGCAGAAACGGCTTTAATTAGTTACTCTGCCACACAAAGTAGATAGCCAATAGGAGATTTTTGAATGTGTTTTATCTGTCTCAGACAAACAAACGGTCAGATACAGCTGACTGTGTCTCAATAGCTGATATCGGCAAGAAATGGATATCTGAGATTTTTGGCAGCTTATCACTTAGAAGTCACACTTCAAATTAACCACTAGGGACTGATTCTGTCACATCTTGTCTACAATCTTTTTTGGGGGGGGGAGGGAGAGGGGAAGTCCTGGGGCTTGAACTCAGGGCCTGGACACTGTCCCTAAGTTTCTTTTGCTCAAGGCTAGTGCTTTACCACTTGATCCACAGCACCACTTCCAGCCTTTTTTGTTTATGTGGTACTGAGGAATTGAACCCAGGGTTCCATGCATGCTAGGCAAGCACTCTACCGCTGGACCACATTCCCAGCCCTTGTCTACAATCTTTCAAATGTTTTTTATTCACTAGATAACTTTTTAAAACCTTAATATGAGTCAAACTTTCTATCAGACATGTCTCCTCCCTTTACACTACTCTTAACCAACCAACATTATTCCTACAACTTCCCCAACTCCTATTATCCTTCAGACCTCAGTTTTCCCTGAGCATACAGTCCACACAGTTAAGCAGTCTTGATACACTCCAGACTGCCTTTGGCACACCTATCATAACTGTAACTGTTTTTCTGTAATGCTGCTCTTCTCAATTAAACTAAGTTACATTGAAAACAACTACTGTTAGTCTTATATACCAATCTAAGGAATCAAGCCCAACAGCTGGCTTACATTTTGCTCAGTATTCAATGAATAAATTTTGCCCTAGACTTGTGGTTTAAATTACTTGTTCCATTACAAGTTTCTAATTACTAACACTATGCTTGGAAGCACAGCTGAGAAGGGAACACTTGGAAAATTACACCACAATAAGAAACCCCAACTACTTCCAATTTAGGTCATGGAGACAAACTTTCTTATAACCCTACATACTCTTCTATACTCCATCTTCTATTCTATAATTTTTACTTTTATTTTCTTTTCTGATATAGGGTCTTCTGTGTGGCCCTGGCTGGCCTCAACCTCTTGAACCCTCCCCCTCACCATCGCCCCCCTCCCCCCCAACTCAGACAAGTACTAGCACATCCTAGTCCTACAACCTATTTTCTACCTGCTAGTTTTACTAAAATGCAAGAATTGACATCAAAGGTGACAATATTAGGGGTAAGATTAGTGCCTTTAAATACCTTCATACATAATAATTAAGAATAAATTGCAGCTGGGGGCCAATGGCTCATGCCTATAATCCTAGCTACTCAGAAGGCTGAGATCTGAGGATCACCGTTCAAAGCCAGTCAAGGGAGAAAAGTCCTCATAAGACCCTTACCTTCAAAAAAACTACCCAAGCCAGAAATGGCACTGTGGCTCATGGTAGAATGTTAGCCTTGAGCACAAAGAAACTCAGGGACAGCACCCAGACCCTGAGATCAAGCCCCAGGACTGGCAAAGAAAAAGAGAGAGACAGAGACAGAGAGAGAATTACAGTGAAGTAAATCTCCCCTAAATAACAAATATAACTCAATAGTGCAACCTTTTTTTTTTTTTGGTCTGTTGTGGGTCTGGGCGCTGCCCCTCAGCTCTTCAGCTTAAGGCAAGCATTCTACCACTTGAGCCACAACACCACTTCCAATGCAACCTCTTAAAAAATAAAACTTGGGGGGCTGGGAAGGTAGCTCAGTGGTAGAGCGCTTGCCTTGCATGCCAGAGGCCCTGGGTTCGATTCCTCAGCACCACATAAGCAAAAAGGAAAAAGCCGGAAGTGGTGCTGTGGCTCAAGTGGTAGAGCGCTAGCCTTGAGCTGAAGAGCTGAGGGACAGCGTTCAGGCCCAGAGTTCAGGCCCCATGACCGGACCCAAAAAAAAACAAAAAAAAAAAAATAAAACTTGGCAAGATCAAAAACATAAATGCAGCCAGGTACCAGTGGCACACGCCTGTAATCCTAGCTACTCAGGAGGCTGAGATCTGAGGATTGCAGTTTGAAGCCAGACCAAGCAGGAAAGTCCATGAGACTCTTATCTCCAATTGGTCAACGAAAAGAGAGAAAGAAAGAGATAGAGAAAAAGAGGGAAAAGAGAGAAAGAGAGAAAGAAAGAGAGAGAGAAAGAAAGAAAGAAAGAGAAAGAGGAGGGAGAAAGGAAAGGAAAGGAAAAAGGAAAGGGGAAGGGGGAAGGGGGAAAGGGGAAGGGAAGGGAAGGGAAGGGAATGGGTATCTGATAGCAATGCTGTTCTTTTGCCCTATGCATGAG